GAGAATGTGAAGTCTTTGACCAAGCCACAACAGTTTTCTCCCCATGCTGAGAAGTCAATATCCCCTCCTTCCTCAGAGAATATAAAGCCTTCTACCAAACCACAACAAATTTCTCCCCTTGATGAGAAGTCGCTCTCCCCTCCTTCCTCAAAGAATGTGAAGACTTCGGCACCCATTGACGAAGAGGTGGTTGAAGTGGCTACAGATCAAGATACTGAGCTTCATTTTTCTCTGGAAGTTGCACAAGATTCCTCATATGAGGTGGGTTATTTTAAGAGGATTTGGAGAAATTGGTTTGGCGGTAGAGTTATTGTTTCAGGGACTACAAGTCACAATGGTCCAGAAGAATTTTGCACTTCTGGTGATGACACTAAGAAGGAAGACCAAGACTCTCTGGTGAAACAGCATACTTCTGTTGATAATGCTGTGAAGGGAAATGATGAGAAAAAGCATGATGCTTCAAGTGAGGTTGTTGATCAAGCACTTCCAGCTTCATTTTCTTTATCCCACAATGAATCAGCTAAGGACAACAAAACTGCAACAACCTATCCAGTGTCTGGTAGCAAGTCTAAAACAAATCCAGGGATATTTGGTCTGATAGTAAATTGGTGTAAATTCGGGAGAAGTAGCCCATGCTCTGATAAACTGAGTGATCAATCCCGTGACAGACTGAACCTGATGGACAATCGCTCTCAAGTGAACAAGCTCTTTTCAACAGATTCTTTTTGGGCTGAAATGGAATCTTTTATGGACACACCTAAAGGATCAGTTGCTGTCTTCAAATCAAGGACCAGGTTGCATTTACTCCCATGTTTATTTTATTTTATTTGTTTGTATTGTTCTCTGCATATAGACAAAGATACTCATACAGATATACCTGCAGTTTCTCTTCATGTTTGCGTTTCTCTGTATCATAAAAATGCTTATGATTAGATTACAACTATCTCAAACTTCCTTTTGTTTTTCTTCCCTTCGCAGCAACAATTCCTTTATTTGCTAGATTGTTGCTTGAATATTTTTACTAACGTTTTAGGTCCTTAGGTTTTGTACACAAATACATTTATGTTTATGTATGTATACATATAGTGTTTTTTGCTAAACTTTGTGGCATGCTGTGCTGTCACCCAGTAAACCTAGACCACACTTTGACAAGAGTGCACCTAATCAATGGTCCAGATTTAGAGTCTGGCAAGAGCGAGTTTATATATATATATATATACACAGATTGCTTAAGGGGAGGGATCCCCATTTTTCTAAACAAATGGGGACACGCTCCCCACCGTTGGATTTAACTTTAATGAAATTGTGTGGTTGAGATTGTATGGCCTGTGTTTTAATCTCAACCACACAATTTCATTAAAACCAATCTAACGGTGGGGAGCGTGTCCCCATTTTTTTGAAAAAATGGGGATCCCTTTCCCTTAAGCAATCTGTATATATATATATATATATATACACATATAGGTATGTATATACATATAGGTATGTATATACATATAGGTATGTATATATATATGTATGTATATATATATATATATGTATATTTATGTATCTATATATATGTATATATTTGTGTATGTATCAAAATCCAAGCTTACGAAGTTTTGGATTTATACTTTTATATATATATATATGTATATGTATATGTATGTATGTATCTATATATATGTATATATTTGTGTATGTATCAAAATCCAAGCCTACGAAGTTTTGGATTTATACTTTTCTTTTGGCATGACAGTAACTAAACACTTTGTTTATATTAAAATAATTAAAGAAGAACACAAAGGATCCATATTCTTCATTTGAAATTTATGAACATTTCCTTGAGGTAGCAAATTTGAAGTTAGAGTTGAATGACTGCATCAGGTGGAATGGAAATTCTATGGGTGTACAAATCTTCCATGCGGACATACGATTTGATTAGTCCATTTCAAGTTTGCAAGAACTATGTGAAACTGAAGATAGGGTCTTTCTACCCCGAGATTGTTTTCAATGCATTTTTTTTTTTTTTGCACTGAATTAATATATACAGTTCTTGATGTTCTGTGCTTACACTTCCCTAATGGTGTCCTTGTGTATTCACTTGTCTCAGGGAACAAATGGCACTCAACCTTCAAAAGGAAGGACCTTTGTCTCTTAGATCTCTCTGCAAAGATGATCTTCTTCGCTTGGTCGACTTGTTAATGTCAGAAAAGAAGTGGGTTGAAGAATGCCCTTCCCAGATGTCACCTTTCAAACTTACTGATCATGGTGGAAAGAGTTCTTTGGATCAGTCTAATGGTTCAAATAGGTTGAGATCCATCTTTCTGGATCAACCATCACAACATGACATGCAGAGATCACGAGAGCATGACGGAGAGGAAAAATGTCGAAATATTCCGCTTAGTGGAGTTTCACTACCTACCATTAGGAAGACACCTCCTGACAGGTCTAAAAGTGAGATACTAGCCGACTGTCGAAAGCTTGTAAATGAGCTATTGAAAGAGCACCCAGCGGGATATAACATGGGCTTATTCAGAAAAGTGTTCTTTGATAGGTATGGCTACCACCTTGATTTGCATATGCTTGGGTATCAAAAGTTAGCAACCCTATTACAAGCCTTGCCTGGGGTGAAAGTAGAGTCGTCTCACATCCTTCCTTCTTTCACATACTCGGAACAAAAGCCTCAGAAAATGTTTGATATGAAAACTTCTGGTCTGAGTATCCAAAAACATACTGCCAGTCGTACAGCGGTTGATTCAGATGGTAATTTAACTGATGCGTCATGCAAGGATGATGGTAGCGACTCACCATGGGAAGAGCTGGGCCCTGTTGCCAACGGATCCAACAAAAATGAAGTGCAATTAGAGTCAAGGAGGAAGGCAATAGTATCAACGGGTTTTGATTATGAACCATCCCTTTCTGATGATTTTTCAGATTCAGAAGAAGAGACATCGCCTATAACTGAATCAGAAGGACAACGTGCTGCCAGAGTGAACAAAGAAGATAGCTCCTTATTGCAGATCCTTGACTCATGGTACAGCAATAAGGATGGCGAAAGTAGCAAGCACAAGTCAGAGAATGTTGATAGGACGGCTGATTCCACGAATGTCTCTAAGCTATCTGGATTCGGCATCACGAGTGGGACTTCTTTGGCAGACCATGCATGGAAGCAAAGACCTCAGAAGAGCTACTCTTTTGTTACAGACTCGTGTGGCGATAACAAGGACAAGTTAATTGATGGCATACTAGGTAGCTTGAAGAAACCAAGTGAGCCAAGGATGGAGAGCTAGATGGTTTAAATGATTGAGAGCGAGAGCAAGTCAATAAAACATATATAAGAGATCTACTAGGGCAGTGTCATTGGAACATTTGAGTACTCGAATTTTGGAGATTGGAGTTCAACGGATTTGATTTTTGAAGCGGCCGAGCCAATTTCAGGCTGCTCCGCGCTGGCGGTCAGAAGAGTTTGATTTATATTCCTAACCCAATTAGTTTGAACTACTCTTGCTTTTATCAAGTAAGAAATGGCTTTAGAAAGTTACAAGCATGAATGTCCACGCTTTGCTTTGCGGTGGGTTTTAAGAATACCGTTTAAGACAACAATATTAATATATAAATAAGTTTTATAAATCAATATTCACATGTCTGGTGTATGAGAAGGTAACTGAGCTACACATTACAGTGATCAAAAGATAAAATGCTCATTATTCGAAATTTGATGGGCAGAAGAATATGCATGATCTCACATTATTTATTGCATGCGTGTACTATTGTTTATGGCATGCGGGTGTATGTAAACTGTATAAAACCATACTGCAATGATGCAGATTGTAAGAAAGCCAAACCATACTCCTTGATGAGTTTATGCAGTTCACAGTTTTCGAACCCTAGCTTAAACTCTTTCATGGTATCAAAGAGCTAAAGTCTAGCGACAATAATTTTTTTTTCCCCGTTCTCCCATGGCTTCTCAATCTTCCTCTCCCATTCCCTTTCCTAATGTCTCCAATTTTCTCACGATCAAACTTGATCGTACCAACTACCCTCTCTGGCAAGCCCAAATGCTACCTCTCCTCCGCAGTCGAAATCTGGTTTCCTTTGTTGATGGAACTAGTAAGTGTCCCCCAGCATTGCTGACAGATGAGGATGGAAACATCACTGACAAAGTCAACCCTGATTTCGACACTTGGATACAACAGGATGCAACTGTTATGTCATGGATCAACTCCTCCGTCCATCCTACCGTGCTTGCTGCTTTAATTGGGAAAACCAGCTCCCACTCTGCCTGGACAACACTACGTGATCGTTATGCTTCTCAGTCCACCGGTCGCCTTCTCCAGCTTCGTAGTGAGTTGATGAATACTCACCGAGGTGATTCTTCCATTTCTGAATTTTTGGATAAAATTAATTGTCTCGCAGATACCCTCTCTCTCTCTCTGGTGCTCCCGTTTCCGACTCCGACATCGTTGCCATCATCCTCAACAACGTTGGTCCGGCCTATGAAAGTACCGTTGCTTCCGCTCAAGCCCGTGATGAGGCTATTACCTACAGTGCTTTGGAAGCCCTCCTCCTTGGCGCTGAAAAGACGACAGCAAATACATTCCGCGTTTGGTACTGACAGTGGGCTCTCACTGTCCTTGCCGCCGCTTTGCAATGGCAACCGCGCACCTGCATCTTCTCGAGGACGAGGATCCTCTACTGGCTTCCGTGGTCGTAGTAACTTCAATACTGGTCGCGGCTCTACCAATCGCCACTACAGCTCCTCACCCTCTCACCAAGGTTCCTACTATCACCAAGGGTCCAACTCTCACCAAGTATCCCACTCCCGCCCACATGATGGGATTCTTGGCACCTCTCCTTCCCAAGGTACTTTTACTACAAGCCGGATTCAATGCCAAATATGTAATCGTTATGGTCATTCTGCGATTGACTGCTTCAACCGCCTAAATATGTCTTATGAGGGACGTGTCCCTGCACCACGTCTTCAAGCCTTTGCTGCTCGTGCTCTGCTCTCCTGCTTCTGCAACAGCACCTGCCATACAGGAATGGCTGTTTGACTCCGGGGCCAATGCTCACATCACCAATAATCTAGCTACTGTTGCGCATCCTCATCCTTATACTGGCATGGACCAAGTCAATGGAGTTGTTGGTGGCACAGGTTTGCAAATTTCACACATAGGCAACACTTCCATTCGTACACCTACCTCTACTTTCACATTACCTAATACACTACTATGCCCTAATGCATCAACCAATATTATTTCTATCCATCGTTTTACTACCGATAATAACTGTTCTCTAACCTTATATCCCAACTCATACTGTGTTCAGGAACTCCACACGGGGAGGATGCTTTTACAAGGCCCGAGTAGGAATGGATTCTACCCTTTTTCTGGTGTTTCATCTTCCATTAAAGGCGTGTCTGCATTTTTAGGAACTAGAGTGTCCAATTCAATTTGGCACTCTAGGTTAGGTCATCCATCTTCTCATATTTTGCAAAATTTGGTTTCTAGGAACAAATTGCCTATTAAGGGCGTTGTAACTAGTGAGTTATGTCACTCATGTCCCATGGGCAAGAGTCACAAGTTACCTTTTCCATTGTCTGTCTCTAGGTCTTCATCTCCTTTACAATTGGTTCATTCCGATGTATGGACTTCACCTTCTTTTTCTATCAATGGTTTTAAATATTATGTCGTGTTTATTGATGATTTTTCTCGCTACTCTTGGCTATATCCCTTAAAATTAAAATCTTGATGTTTTTCTCACTTTTGTGTCCTTTAAGAAATTGGTTGAAAACATGTTCCACACTACAATTAAATCCTTTCAAACTGATGGAGGAGGGGAGTACGTAAACAACAAATTCAAAAATTTTTTGACTCAACATGGCATTCTACATCGTTTTACATGTCCACATCATCCTGAACAAAAATGGAATTTCCGAACGTAAAACACCGTCATATCGTTGAAACTGGTCTCACTCTTCTTGCTCATTCCTCCTTACCAACTTCTTTTTGGGATGATGCTTTCCATACAGCAAACTATTTGATCAATCGTTTACCCACTAAAGTTCTCCATGATGAGTCTCCCTTTCAAAAACTGTTTCAAAAATCTCCTCAATATGATTTTTCTTAAAGTTTTTTGGAGTGTGCATGTTTTCCATTTCTTCGTCCTTATAATACTAACAAGCTGCAATTTCGCTCCAAACGTTGCATTTTCTTAGGTTATTCATTAAATCAACAAGGTTATAGGTGTTTAGATACGTCCACAGGTCGCATTTTTTTGTCACGCCATGTCCTATTTGATGAAACCAATTTTCCATACAAAGAATCCATTTCTACAACGTCCTCATCCTCCCAATCGTCTATGGTACTGAACATTGACCCCTCTTCTTTCCATTATCCCTCTAGGAACCCCATTTTCCCAACTGTACCACCAAACCCACATCCGTCCAACTTATTCCCCATATTATCTCACCCACCTAACCCTAGTCCTATTCCCTGCCCTTTACCACCACATCCGCACCATCACATGCATCCCACTATACCATCCCCCCAACCTAACCCTATTTCCTCTAATTTCCCACCAAATCCGCACCTCCCTGCCCCTTCTTCCATTCCATCCCCTACGACTGCAATGGGTGTTGCTCCTGTCTCACCTTCCTCTCAGAGACAAATTCAACCTGTTCACTCCATGGTTACACGCTCAAAGGATGGCATTCAGAAGCCAAACCCCAAGTATGCTCTTGTTTCTGATGTGACTAATGAACTTGTTGAGCCCTCTTGTTTTACACAGGCAAATAAGTCTCCCGAATGGCGTATGGCAATGGCAGAAGAGTTCAATGCTCTACAAAGCACAGGAACGTGGTCCCTAGTTCCTTCTCATCCCTCCATGAATGTCCTACCAAATAAATGGGTCTACCGTATTAAACGGAAATCTGACGGTTCCATTGAAAGATTTAAAGCACGTCTTGTTGCCAATGGTTTCCATCAACAAGAAGGGCTTGATTACAGTGAGACGTTTAGTCCCGTCGTCACTCATGCTACCATCAGGATCATTCTCTCCGTGGCTCTTCATTTTAACTGGCCAATTCGCCAACTTGACGTCAAAAATGCGTTCCTTCATGGCTCTTTAAATGAAGAAGTCTACATGCGCCAACCTTCTGGTTTTGTCGATCCGCAGTTTCCGTCACATGTATGCCGTCTTCGCCGGTCCTTATACGGCTTAAAACAGGCTCCACGTGCCTGGTTTCAGTGCTTCTCTCACCATCTGGAGGAGCTCGGCTTTCAAGCCTCCATGGCAGATTCTTCGCTGTTCATTTTCTGCAATGGAACTAATGTCATTTACTTGCTCATTTACGTTGATGACATCCTCGTCACCGGTAATAATCCAGCTCACATCTCCACCTTGATTCATCAATTGGGTCGAAAAATTCTCCATGAAGGACCTTGGTCCCTTGCATTATTTTTTGGGAATGGAAATTACGAGAACGCCAACGGCCATGTACTTAACACAGTCAAAATATATCCTGGACCTCCTCAAACGAACTCAGATGGCTGACGCCAAACCCTTGTCTACTCCAGCCCTCCCTGGCCGCAAGCTTAGTTTGTATGAGGGCGAGCCCTTGGCGGATGGAACAACCTTTCGAAGTATTGTTGGGGCTCTCCAATATCTCTTATTCACGTCCGGACATTGCTTTCGCTGTGAATCAAGTCTGCCAGTATATGCATTCGCCCACCACTACACATTGGGTTGCCGTCAAACGCATTCTTCGCTATTTGAAAGCCACTCATGATCGCGGTCTCGTTTATAAACCCAGTTTTTTGTCCCTCACAGCATTTGCCGATGCTGACTACGCTGGTGACCCTGATGATCGTCGCTCCACTGGTGGTCATTGCATATTTCTAGGGGATAACTTGGTCTCCTGGAGTTCTAAAAAGCAGCGCGGCGTGTCTCGCTCAAGTACGGAGGCCGAGTATCGCCAAATGGCCTACACAGCTGCCACCTTATCTTGGTTCAGACACATTTTTTTGTGATCTTCGTCTTCCTCTCACTCCACCAAAATTGTGGTGTGACAATATCAGTGCACTGGCAGTGGCTTCCAATCCCGTTTATCAGGCTCGTATGCGTCATGTGGAAGTTGATTATCATTATGTTCGAGAGAAAGTCACTAGAAATGAACTTGTTGTGGGATATGTTTCATCTACTGACCAACTTGCCGATCTCTTAACAAAGGGCTTGTCCACCGCACGGTTCAGTTATCTTCTTTCCAAGCTTCCTGTTCGTCCGCGCCCACTCAGCTTGCGGGGGCGTGATAAACCAAATATTCAGTTCAAACTACCTGAGTATAAGCCATGTGCTGCTGACATATAATCCATGTGCTGCTGACATGGTGAAAGGACTATTCTAAATGAAACCCATGAAGTCCTGTCGAAGATGGGCAGAAGAATATTGCATGATCTCACATTATTTATTGCATGCGTGTACTATTGTTTATGGCATGCGGGTGTATGTAAAACTGTATAAAAACCATACTGCAATGATGCAGATTGTAAGAAAGCCAAACCATACTCCTTGATGAGTTTATGCAGTTCACAGTTTTCGAACCCTAGCTTAAACTCTTTCATGGTATCAAAGAGCTAAAGTCTAGCGACAATAATTTTTTTTCCCCGTTCTCCATGGCTTCTCAATCTTCCTCTCCCATTCCCTTTCCTAATGTCTCCAATTTTCTCACGATCAAACTTGATCGTACCAACTACCCTCTCTGGCAAGCCCAAATGCTACCTCTCCTCCGCAGTCGAAATCTGGTTTCCTTTGTTGATGGAACTAGTAAGTGTCCCCCAGCATTGCTGACAGATGAGGATGGAAACATCACTGACAAAGTCAACCCTGAGCCAGGGCCAGTCTTTCACGTGTATGTGCACATTGCACCGTACACTCACTTTGGATCTATTGTAGGTGCCAATCCTGTCCTAGATTGCTATAGGCAATTATGACTCATATATGCTGCACTTAGCTCTAGTCTTCATGTGATTGTAGTACTAGATCATATATCATTATTACACCCAGTCATGTTCATGTCAGAATACCTCTGCATGAACTCGTGTGTCAGCATGTGTCGATGAGCACTCGATATGATATGTTTGCTTATGCGAGATTATGTGATTATGAATGTCATGTATTTATTTATGAATTTTGTGACATATTGTATTTTTGAGATATTGCAGGCTACGGTAAGTATTTTCATAATGTTTTCAAAAAGGCTTTTATAAAACTTTATTTTTAGGCCTACTCACCCTTGTTTTTCACCCCTCCAGGTTTCAGTGACAATGTTCGAGTTAATGAGGATTTCTGGCAAATGCTGATATCAGAGACTACTCCCAATGGTATAAGTCTTATCCTAATTTTACTGCACTTTACTTATGCTCTGACATTACGTGTAAAATGGGCTCATTCCCACTTACAAGCGCACTCTTATATTTAGGCACTTTTAGATTTAAATTTATTTACATTTTCCACTTCACTGCATTTTATGGCTTCGTCACCCTCCTGGTGTCGGCCAACACAGCTTGATTCGGAGTCCAGTGGATATTCTGGGTCGGGGTGTGTCAGCGCTTGTGTGCAAAAAATTTTAATAGAAAAGCATGCAAATTGGCATTTTGTTGAGCCTTGGAAGGCCTGTCGATAAATGCCAATAACTTTCGAGCGAGCATGTCGACAAATGCTAATGTAGGCAGAATGAGCCTATCGACAAATGCCCATATCAGTGCATACAAAGACATGAGGTTAGCAACTACCTAACTGTCCGCAAAGGCAATTCGTCAAGCAGTTAGACATCTTTTCAAGGACATCTTAGATTCTTAAAGGCCAGCACCTAGCTTTTCCATGAAAGACTTTGAAGCTTAAGAGGGTCAGCTGACCCACCTTACCCCAAGGTGGATCCGCCCTGGTAGTGGCGATGGTATGATTGTGATGGAGGTGATGGTGCCAATTATGGTGGTGTGGTATGTAGGGCAGTCACTTTGCTATCAAATGGAATAAAATGTGTGCAAAATAATAAATAATGCTATTTTTAGAAACTAGTGAGGGTATTACATGAATTGAATATATTTATGAAGGGTCAATTCCCTTTTTTTAATAAAAGAAGTTTTTAAAAGCAATTTACAGACTGTTTTCAAAAGCTGATGTCTAGAGATTATTGCTTTTAAAATAAGTAAGATTTTTTA